ATAAAATCAATAACTCGACTGTCAACTAAATTCTTCGTTTTCTATTACGTAAAGTGAACATTTCTGGGTTCTGCATGGTCGGTTGCACAAAACTAAATGCTTAAAGGTCTCACTTTGGACTTTGGAAATGTATGAGAGATATTTTTCATAACTTTGGGGAATTTTTAAATTGATTAATCAAGAAAACAATCCACAGAATAATCAAGAATGAAAATAAGTTGATCTCTTTAAAGAATTTTTAATCTCTCAAATCTCCAAAACCTGTAATTCTACAAACTGGGTGTTTGTAAAAATGGACATCGAGATATTGTTTGTTTGATTTGTTCTTTCTTTCTTTGCAGTTTCGTTCATATTGACTGATTCTTGTGCTAAATCTATTTACTGGTGGTGTTGGAATACTGTCTGATAAACCACTTCACTTCTGTATCTGTTTGTTATTTAACCGGATTACAGAAAATGTCAATGAAATTTTGTGCAGGGCTTTGATGTGACCAAAGGCCGAACTTGTTAAATTTTGGTGCAGATCCAGGATTTCTTTCTTTCTTTCTTTCACTGTGAGATCTAACTTTTTGTAACATTTCCGTTGATTTTCTTGGAGAATAATTCATGGATCTAGATTTTTTTTAAATCACACATTTTTAGGGGACTGATATTCATGAGCGTGTCAAGTTTGGTGCAGAACCAATAAAAGTCTAGTGAATTTAAACATGTTTTCATGAGGAGACTGTCGGCCTTTGGTGGAGCTTTGTGCTCAGGTCACATACAGAGATATTTCTCTTATGCAGGTGAACACGGCTCAGCTACGTGGACGTGCATGTAAGTATTTTACATCTTTAATCTTACATGAACTTTTAATGTGAAAAAATAAATCTGCTGTTGGCTGTTTTAATCTGCACTTAGTAAAGACCACCGGGTTCAACAGCTGAGAAGACGCTCGAGGATATTTTATCATCTACTAATCACCCCGGGACGTTAACTGGTATTAGGCACATTTTAATCAACTCAGCATGAGACCCCTAAAGATGCCCTGAAGCACAACACACACACACGCAGAGCTCTGGGATAAAGCTAACAGACGGCAGGTCGACACACAGGAAGTGGATTTAAAGCAGCAGCTCGGCTCAGATGGAGATCACAGCAGCACACGTGTTGGACAGGTGATAATCCAGAGAACGAGGACAGTGTGTGTTAGTGGAGCGAGAAAAAACCTGCACATTATTAATGTGTGTGTGTGTGTGTGTGTGTGTGTGTGTGTGTGTGT